CTGTTGTTTAAGTAGGAGTGGTAGGGCTCAAAACCTGAAGGGAAGTAAAATTCTATCGAAGAGTATTTAGGGGAAGATTTAGGACATTCCTGGAATGACCTTCCCAGTATTTTTTTCTAAGACTACTATACCATTATAGACTACCAGAAGCTATTGACTGTTTTCAAGTGCTAGTTCTTCTTATAAATCCTTCCATCCAAATTTTGACTGATTTTTAAAAACTATTTTGTGTTAGTTCTTGGTAACCAAATCATTTCTATAAGAAAATGTTTCATATTTTAAGGAGGAAGTCCTTGGGAGGTAAGCACTAGAAAACAACCCTGAGAAAACCCAATCAATACATATACAAACAAGAGTCTCCTAATTACAAAGAAAAATCCAACTAATTCAAATACAAGAAGCAAAAAGAAAATGAACATAGCATTCCTATAAAAATATTATAAGAAAAAAATGTGACAAAAACAGAACAACTTTCCTATAGACCTGTTGTAGACTGAATTGTGTCCCCCCAAAATTCATGTTGATTTCTGTATGTAAATTTTATGTCACTCTCATACTTAATCCTATTGTTTGAACTAGTTTTATCATTTCGTTTGAGTTACTTTTATCATTGTCTATAGAGTTTTCGGTGCATATGTCATATCATCTACAAATATAGTTTTAATGCTTTTTCAATTCTTCTACTTTTAACTGGTTTCTGTTACATAATTGAAGAAGCGTTTGTGTAACATATTGAGATGAGGCACTAGCAATGAGCTAAAAGATTTATAAGGTTTTGAAGTCCTCTGGTAAATCCATTGGGGATGTCTACTTTAGGCTCTTCCTATGGCTCTTTAATGCATTCCGTATGTAAACTGCCTGAAGTAAAGGCAAGAGCACTAATATAAATACCTTATCATATTTAACTATCAGAATGGATAGTTTTAAATAACTGAAGTAAACAAAAACTTCTTGTTCAGGCAATTTTATAAGGCTATGACCAGTAGAATTAATCTGGAGATTGAAAATTTGGTAATTTCTATTATTCTGTCTTCCAGCTCACTAATTCTTTCTGCTGTTAAGCCCATCCATTTAGCTTAGTTTTTGTTGTTTTTTTTAAATTTTGGATATTGTACATTTCAGTTATAAAATTTCCATTTGGTTCTTTTTTATATCCTATATGTCTTCACTGAGACTTAGTTTTTTCATTTATTTCGAGTGTGTTCATCATTGTTTAAGCATTTTTATGATAACTGCTTGAAAAGTCTTGTCAGGTAATTCTAACATATGTGTCATCTAGATGCTGGCATTTGCTATCTTTTCTCATTCAAATTGAATTTCCTAGTTTTTTATGTGACAGTTGAAACCTGGACATTTGGGGTATTGTAAGATTCTGAATCTTATCTAAATTGTATGTTTTAATAGACCTCCTCTGACACTGTTCTAGTTGGGGAAGAAGGGCAGTACTGAGTAGGGGATGCAAGTGTAGGTTCCCTACTTGGACTCATTTGACACTGTGGTGGGAGGAGGATTGTTCTGGCTCCCCAGTAGGCCTCTATTGATACCACTCTGGCTTTGAGAGGCTGGGATGCCTTCTTACTGCTCCTCAAGTGGCCTCCACTGATACCATAAAGGGGAGGATAGCCTTGTTATATCTGGCCAGTGGTCAAAGTCTCCACTAGGCCTCCTCTGACATCACTTCCCAGAGGGAGGGGAAAGTGTTCCTCATTCCAGTCTTGTGGGAATAGAAGTCTCGATCTCTTCTCTGCCTCCTCTGATACCACCTGGTGAAAGTGGAAGTTGAGGCTCTCCACCCAACCTTTTCTGGCAGTGGTGGGGTTGGAACTGGAAGTTTTCCTATTGTGTTTGGCCGGAGTAAACACTTCCTGTTTAAATTTTTTCTTTCCTACTAGGCTGTCCTTTTCCTCATCCTTTGGCTAGAGAGAGCAGGATTTTTCTTGAGACTTCTTTTATCGGTTCCTGTTACCATTTCTGGATTCTGGTTTCTCTAGCACCCAGTTTGAAATATGAGTGAAAAAGAAAACCCAGGGAATTCACTGTTGTGTTATTCCTTGGGTCCTGAGGTCCCTAGCCAGTCTGCCTGCTTATCTCTACCTTTTGGAGGCTCCCTTATGTTTGTTTATATACACATTCACTAAAGCTGGTGTTATTTCATACTGGGTCACCTAACAATACCTTATGTGAAGGTATTTTTAAGAGATCCAAAGGAAATAAGAGAATGAACTATGTGGATATCTGGGGTGAAAACTTTTTAGGGAGAAAGAACAGCATATG